TATATATACATACACGAATAATAATAATAATTAACTAATATTAACTAATAATTTACTTTAACGCAAAATTAAATGTGAGGATTTGAGCAGACCCCAACTTCTATTACAACTTCAGTCCCAGCAGCAAGTATTCACACTGTTGTTTTTATGTGATAAAGTATTATCAGTATCATAAAATCATATGTCTATATACAGTTGAGACGTGACACTGTAACCTAATTGTAACACTTACTTTAAACCGTGATCGTCGGGGTCAAATCCGTGTTTTTTGCAGACATCCTCCAGGACCTGAGATCGAGAAAATGCAAGAGGAAAGTCACAATAACAAAGCCTCGCCAAAAAGGACTAGTGGTACTAAAACAGAAAAATGATCTGTCACTGGCTAACAGGGGTTAGCACAACATGCTAAATGTGAAAACAGTTCGCTGGTTGACAAAAGAAACAGATTTACCAATCCGTAAATGTCTGAAACCATAAAATGTTTCTTTAACACAACTTACTTGTAACAACGGCGTGTTTGGAGACACTTTGACTGTTTGTCTTCTTCCATTAGGAGTCAGAACCGTCACAGCTGAACCACTGGCTGCCATTGTTTACGGTGACGTCAGTGTGTTTGTTTGAACCAACTTTATTAACCAGCCTCCAGCTTACAACAACACATGATGAAGGGTTCAAATCGTCTGAAATACATGAAACGACAGTGCCTGGGTTCTTTTTTTTTTTTTTMCACAGCAAACTATTAATTGGCTTATGCACATGCTTTGAATTTAAAATGTGTAAATTATTAAATGAAATTTCAGCCTTCCATCATAATGTTAAACCCTGCTATTCACAGATTCATAGGACATCTTTGGGATTGTAGACTGTGTCAGCAAAACAATTGTGTGAATTACTTGCATGTAATGTGGTTTGTTGCCACCATAACAAAGCTGCTAAAAAGAAAAAAATTCTGAGAAACAAGGAGGTATTTTAACATAGTGAAACATTGAAAAGCAGAACTTTGGCTTTCTTTTTCTTTTCTTTTTTATTCTTTTTCCCCACTTTCTCATTTAAAATTAGTGATAAAAAGCCAAAACATTTTCAGGTTAAGGTTGCAGAAAGTTTGCTCTGTAGTACTGGACCCATTCATCTGTAGGACATTAAATCCTCACCAGTAAGTTAGAAAACAATACAAAGACCATCACTCTTCTTCTGGGTTTCTTCAACATGTCTAAAAGCAAAGTGACAGAACACATAGTGGCTTGAAATTATTTGCAATGACCTTTTGAGGCGAGGGAGATTGATCCTGTCAGTAAACTGGCCACAACACTGTCAATCTGTTTCCCATATGGTATCTCCATGAATGTTCCATATGCAGCTTGACAGATGACCTGAACAGACATGGAGGAATCAAGACTATTTTCTCCCAGCACGGATGTAATTGGATCAAAGCTGCAGTCGGACCGGACAGACAAGACGACACGTGGCACAAACAGATGGAGAGGCGTGAGGCCAGGACTCCAGAGGCTGAACAACTGATTGACAGACAAACAGCTTCCTAAACATTCAAACAAAAAGGTCAGCAGAAAAGACAAATAAGGTTCTGGAAGGAAAGTGGCACCATCTGAATAAACACAAACAGCCAGTTTCCTTCCTCCCACAGCAGGACGGACGCTTCAAAACAGCACTGAACACCTGTCAAAGTGGAAGACAAACATAACTACAAAATACTGCTTAATGTAAGAAGTCAGACAATTATGGATCTTTTCAATTGATTTGATGGAGTGTGGGGAAAATGGTACCACCTAGTTTTCCGTTTTACCACAACTCAACTCACTTATCCATCTTGAAATTATTAGTATTGTTATTTATTCATTCATCCATTTTTTGCCTTCTTTTCAGAGATTGAAAAGATATTTTCAAGCAGCTGGTGCCATAT